GCCTGACACACCTTCCATCTTGCGTACCACCTGTATCACCTGTAGTCCTGTTGATCGTCGAGTGACTCGAGCGGGTGACAATAAATCTTTCACTTTTCCCTGTCGCGTGCAAGAGTAGCCCAGTAGGTTCTGTTCGCTCTAACGGCACGTTGAGCATCATATTTTTCTTCTAGGTTTTTCGTGAAGAACTCTGACCATCGGTGGTCTTCCTACAGTACGTTTGACATCCCGAGGAATCCACTCACTAACGGCTCTTGTCCACCGGTTGTCATTCATAGGCATTACGTGTCCGGCCTACCTTATCTTTGACTATTTGGCGTACAGAGCGGCATCCTTGATTTCTGATCGTTGACGCAGGTTGGAGCTTCGGATCCCTTCCCTTACTTGCGTGACACGGATACTACTAGCATCGTCCTTTCGACTGCACGTTCTATAACGCTGAGTGATCTTTCATCCTGCTTACGCAGCGACCAAATTTCCGACGCATACGTTAACGCAGGAAGTACCGCTGAATCGAAAAGGTGGGCACGGAGTAGGGTGTTCTTTGTCCTCTACACTACATCCTCCATACTCTTGTAAGCTCCCCAAGCCGCTCGTTTCCTTCTGCTCAGCTCTGGATCTAAGTCGTTCATCATGTTGATTTCGCGACCTAGATAGACATAATTGGAGCACTCGGAGATATTCGTTCCGTTTAGGGTGAATAGAGCATGCGAAATACGAAGGCATACGAAACCAATCCGTTCCTCATGAACATCGTTTTTGCGAGAGTTAGTCGGAGACCAGTCTTTCAACAGACTTCATCAAAGTCGGCAAGCATCCGCTTGGCTAATGTTTGGTGTTATAGCAACGATGTCAGCAGCAAAGCGAAGATGGTGTAATTGTTGACCGTCGATTTTCACTTCCATATTATCCCATTAAAATGTTCGCATTACATTCTGGAGAGTGGCGGTAAATCGTATCGCCTCGCCTAACTCCTCTTTTGACGTCAATGTTAATATCGTTGCAGAATGGTCATATCTCTGTTGTGAAATTTTTGTACAGTTCACGAAGAATCCTTATATACTGAGTAGGAACTCCCTGGCTATCAAGGGTTTCCAAGGCTGCTTCTATCTCAACTGAATCAAAGGCCATCTGTAAATCGATGAAAGTGAGACAGAGCGGTCCTTTGTACTCTCGCGATGCTTCAACGAGCCTTGTTACCGTGTGGATGTGGTCCATCAAACTAAATCCTTTTCGAAACCCTGCTTGCTCACATGGCTGCCCTTCGTCCAGTGTTGTGTCAATCCTGTTTAGGATGACTTGGGTTAAAACCTTCTATAGAACAGACAACAAGCAGATTGGGCGATAGTTGCCGATATAGTGGAGGTCACCCTTCTTTAACATTAGCACGGTCTTCCATTGAATAGGAACCTTGCATTCAGACAAGTAACGTGTGAAGAACCGTGTGTCAATGAGGAGTGGCGGAAGGTTCTTCAAGTGTTCAGATCTTATCCTGTCTAGACCTGGTGCTGTTCGATTTTTCACGGACGAAATGGCATGTCGGGTTTCGGAAGACAGAACCGGTGGTTCAGCTTATCCATCCTCCTTTATTTCATACGACGGCAGGTGGTCGTGGTTATCGAAAAGATCTAAGCAGTATTCCTGAATGACTTTCTCCACTTCTCTGGACGCTGTAACTGTTTCGCTTGGGCGTCGGAGCGCAATAATTTTGGTCATGTAATTGGTGAAGCATCGCTGGGCTTTGCGAACGCTTCTCCCAGCCTCTGCAGCTTCCTGCATTGCTTTGCAAGTTCGGACGTCAGCTCGCCCGATTCCACTCTGGTGTATCAGCTCGAGTGTTTCTGGAGACAGACGTCTCTTGGTGACTTTCAAACTCTCAGTTTTCATAGCACTAACGAGAAGATGTTGAATGAGCTGATGGTATTCCTCGTCGTTGTTATCTACAACGGTATCTTCCCAACGGCCGACTGATGAATTGAATAAATCCCAGTTTACGGTGGTTCTGGGAATTCGGTTTTGGAATTTAGCGGCTTTTTCTCCTTTCCGATAGAAATAGAATCTTCCACGAAGGAGACGATGGTCTGATCCCGTGTAGAATTTAGGGACGACAGCGACATCGGTTAGGGAAAACCTTCTATTCACTATGATGTGGTCTATTTCATTATGGTCCTCTCCATTGGAAGGCTCCAGCGCTGAGGATGGGGCTTTTGGAATTGCGAGTTACCATGGATTGTCTTGGTCGCCATGGTAAACTCAGATACCCGCTCAGCTTGTTCGTTCCATCCTAATCCGTGCGTCCCAATGTGACGTTCTTCCTGGTTCAATCTTGGTTTAAAAATCTCCAAAGATGACCTTGAAGAATGTATGGTCATCTCTGTAGAACTTCTCCAAGTGCATATAGAACACTTCGACTTCTTCGTCATAGTTTGATGTCGACGGGTAAACCACGAAGACTGTCAAGGCTGGTATTGATTCACATCTTTTTAATTGTAAACGTCCGGTTCAGATAGTAAGTTGTTCGAATGAGTCAATGTTCATGGACAAACTCGTGTTGACTAGTACGCCGACGCCAGCGTCCCCTCTACTATCGCATGTTCCGAGGAACACTTCTTCGGTGTCATAGACGGCGTCGAATGGGCGGCATCGCCTCGTCTCGGCCAGGCCGATGACGTCGTACTTTCTCTTTCTTAATTGCATGAGCAAGTCTTCTATCGAAGACTCGAATGCAAATGTACGCGCATTGTAGGTACAGATCGCCACGATAGTTCTTCGCGATCCAGGCAGCTTCCAAAGGCCCTGTGATTTTAGCAGCCTTTCGGTACTCGTCCTACTCAACTCTACGAAATTGGGGACTCCTTTGGGGTCGAGAGAGTGAGGCTCGTTTCTTTTAGTGTTCAGCCTTTTGATACCCACGTATAGATTGCTGGGCTCTGAACTTGTGGGCTGGGTATACTCACGGGTAGCTTGCCAGTCTCTCCAAGAGTGGATATGGAACTTATTTGTTGCAGGCGACTGACTCTTTATCGCCTCGTATATACTTCCTTGTTACTTGACTGCAGAATCTTGGCCGAATTGACTAGTGAAATAGCATCCGCATAAGCGGGAACGCACCCACACACGCATGCATGAATACGCCTCGTAAATACGGAAAGTATGTGCAAAATCTGCGCATCAGATACAAGGAGTCGATCCCCTGGATCCATCTGCGTCTCAGAGAAGCATACGATCGCTCTTGCTCCGCGATCAACCACCTATCCGCCACCTGCGCACCCGCCACGTAGCCTCGCTACTAACCGGCTCAAAATCCCTCATAAGAGGGACATCCGTGGCCATCTTTCGTAGACTGGAGAAATTTACTACGTCAACTTCAGGTTGCTAGACGACTTGCCGTGATAAAAAATCAAACTGTTTGGAGATAATGTATAATTTCTTACTTACTGCCTATTATTTTTCATAACAGTATTACGTGAAATACAACCGCAATAATGATGAGATATTTGAAAACTCAGACCCCAGCCCAGATTAGAACCCGCGGTTATCATTTGCGGTGGCTCAAGTGCACCACTGAGACCGTGGCTTTGCCTTTCAGCCAATTGTAACTGGGTGCTATCAGCAACCGTCTGCCAAAGGAAATGACCTGGGAATCACACATTGGTATTGAACACAGTTTAGGTGACGCTGTAATCGAAATCACAGTGTATAATTTCTCATTTACTGCCCAGTTAACTAGGTTCAGTAGTTCAGTGGCTAGCACGTGACCCCCCTGAAAGGTTAACCTCGGGTTGGTATCTGGTCTGGACTCTGAACTTCTCGAATATCTTTAAAGCACTGCATTGTTTGGAGATATGTCCATATCAATTTGATAAATTAGCAATGAAAATCGTAATCCATCCGAGCAAAACTCGACTTGGTAGATCGCCTGCAGCTCTCAGCACAGGATTTTGCCCGTGCCAAAGGAATCCTGCTATCTTAGAAGTTTGGCAAAGAAGCAAACTTCCATTCAAACCGCAAATGCCAACATATGTCTGTGGCAAAGACCTCAAAACGTTCCAGTCCAAAAGTACCATCGAATCAATCCACGAACCCAACCACCTCAGTGGACGATTCCAGTAAGAGAAACGAATAGAACTACTGAGACTCCCACGACGTATGGATGCAGCCCATCTAAGCAAGCTAGGCAATAAATGTTTCCAAGGAATGTTCTGTGAAAGCTGTTATACAAGCACATAAGCCAAAACCACCAACTCAAAACTGTTGGTGCATTTAGGATCAAGTGCAGAATTTCAAATACGAACTAGGGATATTATATTACCAGTGATCCTGCTTAATCTCTTAGGACGATTTTTAGTGAGGGACATTTTTATTATGCGAAGTGAACAATCCAAGATCGGAGGAAACGGCTGACTAATATGAAAGAAATCCTAACCTCTTTATGATGTTGCCAAAACTTAAGGACTTTATTATGGGACTAAGGAAAGACTTAATTTTATGATTTAAGGGTCACACAGTTCCGTACTGCGACGACACAGTTGACCAAGTCATCAGTTACGATTACGTTAGTTTTATAATTAATAAATTAGTGGAACGTAGAAGAATAAAGCGACTAGCAATTATAGATGCCCTCATTCGTAATAATAGAAAAAATATGAGCAAAACGAAATAAGCGTTTTAAAGAAAGCATTCATCACAGTGTACTAAATCTGTTAAGGCAACAAAACTTTTGAGAGACACATTTCCTTGGCATTAATATTTAGGATCTAAATTAAACGTCTTGTTATCCTATTAAAAACTCGAGTAAAAGCGTAGACTGGACTAACATCTAAAAACTCAGATATAAGAAAAAACAATCCTTTTTCATAGAAGCAGCAACGAACTTAGTAATAGTGCAGTCGAGCATCAAGTTAGGAAACCGCTATTTACAAGAAGGTAAATACAAATGTTAACGACAAAATGAACGACTAGTACGGACATTCATGAAACCGACACAAGCTATGTTAAAATCAAAAGTAACGGCGTTGAGACTTTTCCCGAGCGAGTGGTGCAGCCAACAACTCCGGATTTTTTTCCATCACTCGTGAAATCTATAAAGGAAGAGAACATCAAATGAACTGAAATCTTGAATGAGTCAGGGAAGAGGACTTTAACAATCCAATGTCTAACAAAAGCCGAAATTTGATGGTTTTATTGTAAGCCTGGAGACAAATTACCAAACTAATTATCTGTTTTCTAGCTTTTGTCGTGTAATGAAGAAATACATTCCGCGTTTACTTTACGGAAAAAGCAAAACTTACCAAGCGAAAACAAGGTTTGCGAACAATAAACCACAAGGGAAAAAGGTTTTCGATAACGGTCATAGTTCCTTAGCTAGGTACAGTTCTGGCACTTTTATCTGTCTTTTGTGTAGTCCGTCTAATTTTCATCAGGCTCGTAAAACTAGACTGCCATTTTCAACGTATTTATTATACGCAGATGAAATGGATCGTAGAAACCACAAAAACTATGGGCATGAAAACATCGATGAATGAAGGCTTTACGTGTAAACGCCACAGCTTCGACAATCATTCGTGAATCCAAAAATTGACCGGATGAAGCAGCTTATGTTTGTAATTTATACGAACGAAAGATGTTTCAACAAACCAGATTATCCATATATTCTTCCATATCACGCAAACGGGAGTCTTTCACACGGAGTTCTAGACGTAAGCTGTCAACAAGTGCAAGCAAATCCTGCTGAGAATATGCGAGTTCATCGTTTCTTTGTTTCTAAAATACTCAAAGTCAAATCATGCCTTTGTCATATTCAAAATCCTAAATCATATACTGAAAAAGTAAAAGTAGTGAAAAAGGATAGGGAAGGCAAAATCAAAGAATAAAGCAACACGGGTAAAATCTCTAACAAAAATCACTCCACTCAACTCGATTTAGGAGGGATCCGCAGGAAGATTTAAGCGATTGCCCAACAAATATGTTGCCATTTGGACAAATTTATGTGGTCAATTATAATAGTTGAAGCACATAAAATTAACAAACTGGCAATGGAATGAGCTATGCATGACTCAAGCGTTCAGGAGCATACTGACCGAGACGAGTCGACTATGAACCATTTCGCCCTGACAGTTCATTTCGCCCCACAATGTTATTTATTAAAGTTTTTGTTATTATTGAAGAGTTTGCCCCACATAAAGTTCCCGTAATCATTAACCAAAAGCACCACTATTCTACTGTTAACAGTTTACAAAAAAAAACTATTTTTTTGGATAAATCCATGTGACTTGAATCCTGCTGTGGGTCCCGCCGCACCTTCAGCACTTGCACATCGAAACCGTAACTCAAGACATTTCATCGCCATTAAAGGATGGTAAGTCGAAAGTCGATGAAGATTGTTTGTTGCATATTGAACGAGTACTGGGTAGAAAGAGTACGTGTGCACACATTTTATCAATTTTTATCCACAGTGTGCCGTCAGAAACACTACATAAGCGCAGTTGTTAATGTGCATTCACCACACATAATCAACATACATTTACAGCTACTGCGACACTACAACCTTGAGAATCTACAATCTTCAGAAGCAATTTTATAACCTGTAAACTTTTCAGTTAATCCTTCTGTAGTAATCATTGAAATAATCTAAACAAAAACAGTTGTTGCGTTGATTAGATGTAATTACAATATGCTTAGCATGTATTCCAACAGATATTGTGTCACTACATCTATATAAATTTTGTAACATCTAACACATCTCTACTTTTCCTTAACTGCTCACTACATGCTGCCACATGGTTACTCGAGGGTGTAGACACTTGACCTCTGTTCATTCGAATTGAATTTCAGTCTTGAACTCATCCAACTACACTTTTTTTTACACTGTCACGGAATATCATTTGCCTTCTTTGGCTTTTATACCAGACAATACTGTATTCCAAATTGTCAATTTACTTATTACTGCTCGTTTTACAATCACTACGGTGAGTGCAGTTAAAACATGAAATGGGTAGAACCGAATGTGCTGCAAAATCGACTATCAAGGTGTGACAACGGTGTGGTTCGATTAGGTGGGTGGATGTTTTTCATCATTTTGTCTCTATACAACACATCTTTAACACCTACTGCGTGAATCATAGCATTCTCAAAATCGATTTCATTCCTCGCATCCGTCATCCACGAAGGTCTTCCAACTTTTACGTGTGGCTTCGCCTACTGCTTGAGAATTCTCATTTCATCGTGAATGTTGTGGAATGCTGGTCGAACCGATTCTCTCTACAGTCCTGAGATAGCCGACCTAAAACGCTCCCACTTGGATTGGAAACTGACTTTTTTCCGGCCAACTCTGATACCAATTTCCAAACTTCGAGAGATGAGAAATTGTTGAGACCGGTGCGTGATCGAACCAGCACCGTGTTCGTGATGGTGGTCGGCATCACTGGCACAGTGCTATGCGCCCCATTTTCATTTTCATGAAATGGCATGCCATTATATAAGAGGCGGAACTGTTTAAACAGCACGGGATAATGCACAGATCCACAAATGTTTTCACGTCTCAAATGGTTGATTCTTATATGGCTTGTTCTCCCCTTGGTCGTTCTCCTTCGAAACACTTCAGATTGATTCTTTGTCGACGGGTCGTATGATAAATTATATCGCGTCACTGTCTACGGGCAGTTAATAGAAAACGGACCTTAATTCATTTGCTAACACCGTTTGTAAGAATTTGCAAACCAATTTTTGATTAATAACTGATCTTCATTTCCAGTCATGGTGATTCGAGGTCATCGTAGATCGGCGGGCACAAAAAATGCAGACAAAAGCATATTCCAAAAGCAAGAAAAGAAGAACACAGAACATAAAGGACACACAGGGCACGAAAACATAGAAAATACCAATAAAGGGCAAAGAAAACTGAATTATAAAGGGAAAACTATGAAAAAAGGGCTGTGTCATTTGCTGGTGGGAAACTACCACTTTGGTCACCTTGACCTATAGACCTATATGACCCAGGGCGTGAGCTGCAGAAAATTAGGCACCGTACCATGCGTCTGCCAGACAGAAACGAGGGTTGTCGACAATGTTTTGTACAAGATCATCTCCAAACAAAAAATTTCCTTAATGTTTGCGGCAAATATTTCATATTCATGTAATAGCATGTCCCATGACAGACTCCAAGTTTACATACAACTCCTCAAAATGTTAATTTAATGTTAAACTTGTTCAGATCTCTATCCCTTTAACTGCTCAGATGTTCCAAATAATTGAGAAACTCGGACGAGAAATCGGATGAAGAAAGAGAACATTTCGTGTGTTTCAAAAAATCGGAAAGAATTTCACCGCGTTAGAATAAGAAAACCTGTTCCTTGTTTCCAGATGTCAGATCTAATGGTTTCCATTTCAATCAAACCGCTATTTGTAATTATTCAAGCTTATTACGAGCTATGTTTGCTGAAAGCTGAAAGGTGTAAATGAAATCAATGAGACTGCTCGAGAAAGTGTTAAACACAGACGAAGTTTCTTTCCCAGAAGTAAACGACCATTAGCATTACGAAACCGACGTAGATGTATCACCGTGTTGTTGGAAGTGAGATGAAGTGGTTGGAAAATTAATAAACTCTACCAAATATAATTTAATTCATAGAATTCGCTTTAAAAACTATTGCGTTAATATGTAACATCAAAAAGCTTAAACGGCAATGTACAAAACTTGTCAAAACTTCGTAAACAGCTGTTAGTTAGAAAACGACCTTAGTCCGGTACCATTTAGCGCACAACGCTTGCCACAAAAAGGAATTGTTTTATTGAAAGCAACGAAGTTTAGTGTTCCGTTGCACAACCTAAACCCCATTTTCCATGAATTGATGTTTGTTAATGTTTACCGACGCGTCTACCTACCACGGGTTTGTTCGATCCCCCAAAACCAGAAGACGCTACACTCCTACAGCTGTTTGCTCGGTGGAATGATTCAGCTGTCGATGCCTGTAAGCGAGCACAGTAGTGGTGCAAACGAAACAAAAGGAAAAGGTGAACGCACAAAGTAAACACAGGAATTATCGAACCGTTTAAAAGTGTGTGGAAATAAGAAGAAACAACGTTGCACACCTTGACACTACTAAACAATGGTTGGATACAATGGAAGTAAATGAAATCGAAAATTGAAATGAACTGACCGTTGATGAGGGGTACATATTCTGAATAAACTGTGGCATATGGGAAGCAGGTGACGACGTCGGATTTTGCTGCACATAAGAAGGTTCTTCATTGAAGTCGATGCCACTCATTACTGAAACGGGTCTGGATGCGTTGTTGTATCTGAAGATGTACCATCATACCATCTGAAGATGTACCATCAAGAGCATCATATTACAAATGTCTGAATATGTGACCAACTTATCGTCTTGGCAAACAACGCCGTCACCACACGGTGTTATATGGCCATCATTCGTTTCACAAGACGTGTTAGTACTATGGAATCCATAAGAATGATGCGAATCTGGATGTAGAGAAGACAACCTGTAGGAATAAAACATCTACACATGCCAGGTCAGACCTTTGTACACGATTTCTAGACATACAGTGAGAACCAAAGTGACTCGCAACGAACTTTTTCCCAATGGATTTGTTAATCCGATCGATAAAACGACTACTACGCGAGCTGGTTATGCTTATGCCGCTTATCCCACTAGTTATTGACATAGTGTCTTCTGCCTTTCTGTGCTTCCCAGCTCCTTTTATTTTTCTTCTCATTTTGTCCAGCATTCCATCTGGAAAAGAGCAAGAGCAAATGATTAGTCTTCCACAACCTAATGATATAAATGACAAATCGATTCTTCACTTTTCGCCATGAGGGCTAATTACAAGTCAGATTAACTTTTAATGATGATGTGCGGCCATTTTGTGACACCACCGCATGTAGGCGAATCAAGGCGCTAACGTCGGTCGACAAATGATTTTAATCATTCTATGCAACTCTGTGAGACATTTATGCATAAAATACTTGATAGCATATTTCATGACTGTTCTTAAGAGATAAAAGAAAAAGATCCATGCCAAACAACGACGGTAGATAGAGAATTCAATGTTTTTCTTCAATAAGCAGACACGAGGTTGTTAATATAGAATTTATTAGAACACAATTGCTGACGTTTCGGCGGTTTCGCCTTCTTCAGAGCCGTTTATTTGTTGCAAGTATTTAAGTTAGCTGATGGATAGCCACTCGACCATGTATTACTCTGTGCGGTGGCTATCCATCAACTAACTTAAATACTTACAACAAATAAACGGCTCTGAAGAAGGCGAAACCGCCGAAACGTCAGCAATTGTGTTCTAATAAATTCTATATTAACAACCTCGTGTCTGCTTATTGAAGAAAAACATTGAATTATCAATTAATGCCGAGGTTAACAGAAAGTCGGTCTTGGGTAGATAGAGACTTGTAAAGACTAAGGCTTTAGAAAACAGCACGCAATGCCGAGAACAATAAATGTTTCAAGAAACCTATCTGCCGAACAGAATGAAAAAAAGTTGATAAGATTGTAATTTGTGATGAAGTATTCCATAAAACAAAATTTGAAGAATGTATCCGCCGTTAATAAGGTTCACAGTGATATATCCTAGCGAATGTAGTATTGGACAAAAATACCTTTTTCAATTTTATTCAGCGATGAATTCGAGATCGATAAGGGCGGTTTCTCGTAAGAAAATGTGAATTGCAGTTGAACCTCACCCCTTAATAAAAATATTGCTAGAAACTTTTTGAAATATAAGAAAGCAGAGAGGTGAGAAAATTGGGCTTAAAAAAATAAACGTTCGGTTCACCTATATTTATCGTCGTCCTTCTTTTTCTTAAGTGCGAACCATGTAAGCCCAAAAATTTTCCTCGCTTGGTCTAGGGGAACCTCACATTTTCCAATAACATCTAAAAATTATAATTTAACACAAGAGTGATTATGTTGAATGTTGTCCGACGATTGTGTTGGACCAAATGTAATTCATCACCGCGTACGGTGTACACTGAACTCAATGTGCACAGTCTATTTTGAAAATCGCCCACTACCTAGCCGCATTACTATAAGTTTTTGGTTTTGCAAGGAATTAAAAGTACAATCTGATGCGTTTATGTTTCTTCTATATAGGCCGATTGCACATGATAAGTATAACACATCATAGTGACTGAAAAAGAAAGAACAATCAACTACTAAACAACGATCAACTTTATAGCCTTGAGTCATGTTGGCGGCAGAAGAATTTAGTCTCGTTGTTCACTAACTACTCGTTAAAGAATCTACGAATCTCATTAAATGACGAAATTGCAAAACTTTGTTAGAGTAACGTTTCGGCGACTCCCCTTTCATAAGAGCCACAGTGTTTAGGGTTGATTGCCAACATGAGTTATTCGTTCTTGCGTACTTGGTTTCAAAGCCGACGCGTCGAGACGAATTGAGTGAAGTGGAGCACCGCAGTAATGAAGCAGCATCACCAACACTTCCTTCTCATAGGGAAATCCAGCCGCGCATAAGTAACTTGATCTCACAAACAGCTTGCTACGACACAGGTCGGACCTTGAGCGATTGAAGTAAACAGTTTCGGTTGAACAGCAACTATCGTTGCTCTGATGAAGGCGAAATCGCCGAAATGTTTGCCATAATAAAGATTATAACAAGGCTACGCAAGCTCATCAATAAACCAATACACTGATTAGCAATATCAAGGTTTAGTGAAAGGAATTAAATACTTGTTTGGCTACATATAATACTAATCCAACTACCACAGGAAAATGCCACAAAAGAAGCAAACAATTTCGGGCCGAATGAAAAAAGTGAATCAAGAAATGAATGCGTAAAAATCCATGTATCAATTTTCATCTTTGCGAAGAATTTTATTTTAGCAAATCTCCATTTAGATGTTTCCAGACTACAATAGTAGTAATAGTACTAGTAACCAGATATTTCCATACACACTTATGGTAAAGCGGTAATAATGACAAAAATAAATAAAGCCATCAAGAAACCTTACCAGATCCGCCGAATTTCGCCTTGTTTTGGACAATTACCGTGATGTGTGTCGATTTATCAGAAACTTTGCTAGAAAACAAATTAAATTCTACGCTAACTGAAGAGATCTGCATGAATGCGTAGGAGAACTTACAATTCACAGTGCTCATCCCAACGGCAGTCACCTTGAGTGCTCACTTGCTCAGTCACGGCGCGACTTCGTAGCGACCCTTTCCCATGAAGTACTACGGTAACGAACGCATCCAAAGTCGCGTGATTTTTGAGATACAAGCCACGAGCATTGTTAACTTAAATATACGGTTTGCAATTTTGTGAAAGCAATAGATTGGTATGTAGAAAAACTGAAAACCACATGATAAAGTGGGAAAAAGCTTTATGGAGTGATACATTGTATGGAGATCCAGGCATCCTACCACATGTTATGCCAGAAATCATGAATTGCTCAACGAATTCATTACATCATGTCATTTATGAAAAATGATATGTGGAACTTTCCCAACAATCATCTTCTTTTCAAACTCATTTGACATTCAACTTCTCAACTTAATTACATTAAAAAGCTCAAATTATTCTCGTTCACGAATGAGTCAGATGACCCACGTCGTCCTGAATACACTACTCCGTAATCCGATCATATCAACAATCTCTGCCAACTACTTTTAGATTTAACGAAGGCTTACTGTGCACAAATAACGTGTTCGGCTCCATCAGTGCTGCCGAAACGGTCTCTTTCTCCCTCTCACCTTCTGCTTAAGGCCTAAAATGATTGACTCCTTGGGCACAAGCAGCAGATGAGAGATCAGCCTAAAAACAGATTATATGCACCAAAATCGTACGTAAATTAATGATACAATAACGTCCCCAAAAGTAAGATGTTCTGGAACAGAAGTGACAACAATCAAAAACCCAATGAAAGTCAGTTAGTATTCAATCACTACACATATAAAAGCTAAGGGAACGACCAAATTCGAGACATCTAGGAAGGAATTACGACGAAATTTTAAATACCTCACTAAACCTAAAAACTAGATATATCATGAAGGAAGTATGCCAACCGATCAACGTAAGCACTTCGATTAATTTAACTTTTACTACCTATATAAACATCATAACGACCAATTTTGATAAACATAAAGTGAGCAACTATGGAAAATGTTTGAGAATATTTAGATGCGAGGACCACCACAATCATAGAAACCGTCTAAGCCAATTAAAATTTCCATAAAAGTAATGCTATAACAGAGCGTTAAATTTCTCAGACTTAGGTGAACAGTAAAAATGAAGTTATTTGTGTTTATCCATACATGGTACGAAGAACCATGAATCTTATAAAGAAACAATGAACAATAATAACAATATAACAGTAGCAATAACAACAACAAGAACAACAACAACAGTTTCCATCATAAAAGACGATCTCATAGATCCTCTTCACCGGAATCACTTGTGCTTTCAATGATTACATCGACTCCATTCCTACCCCGTATCCCAGTTTCATTGCTCTCAGTTCCATAATGCACTGGCAGAATAACGACTTGATTTCGAGCTTCCTTTTCCACCTATAATTATTAATAATGCATCAATACAATTACATCGTTATCGTTTCACTGAAGCGAAAAACTTGAAATTAAAGACGAAAGACAATGCATAAGCAAAAACGATGCGTAGGCTTTTCGGACATGATACCAAGTTTTTGATGGTTTTGTTTGCATGTACATCACCGCTAAGTATTTAACATACTTCGGAATTTGAAAGGATAAGATAGTGACAAGCTGCACGGCAATCCTTAGACGGCTATTCCGCACGATTATACTCAGAAAAATCTGTTTGACCAAGGGAATACCAGTCTCAGCATACCACAAACCAAGAGTAGGATGGAAATTCATGTTTTCGAGATCGTCGCTAAGTATGGGCGCTTGGTTGCACAATCAAAAAGTCAACAAATAGATCCTCAAAAATAGAAGATGCAGGCTAATTCACGTTCCACGAACACTTTAACCAGAGACACTTTTTTTTACGTGCTTCGCCATTAAATTAGTCTTATAAGACAATTTACAACGGAAAACTCTAAGGAAGCTCATAAGGGTAGCAATCTGAGGAACAACCACCGGAACTGTGAAAAATGATACTCCGCTATTATGAAAGACGAACCTCCAATAACGGGTTGAAATCAAAAATACGAAGAATGATTATCCCTTGAAGGACTTAAATTTGATCACACTCCAAAAATAAGTTATTAGTATCAATCAGTAGTCGCGGTCAGATTTAATCTTCGCAAATCACAGATGATACACGAAATCTAGAGAACTAGATCAATTAATCGAATAGTATTCGCAAAGAGATCCTGATGTATAGACCTTAACAAGATGGATGATAGAAGCGTTCCTGCTGATCCAGGGACTGTGCCAGACAGTAAACTCCTAACCGCACGTCTAAGCTCTGCAAAGAAAAAAAAACAATTGCTGCATTGTTCCAGTGGAGATGGCAGGGTGCAGGCCTAAGACAAGTGATGAGAGTAGAAAGGAATCCATATAAAATTTCTCCACTATCTACTATCTTTCATGATAACTACTTATAATTGGACCGTCTCAATTAAGCTCAGTAGGAATTGAAATATCATACTCATGGCGATCCCCACGACACTTCTCTTTTATGTCGTTTTCTTGTTCAGCAATCGCGAGGTTTTTAAACAGCATACATTTACTTCCATAAAGAACACAATACAATACAACGCTAGCTGAGGTTTCGGCAGTATCGCCTTCTTCAGAGCCGNCTCATGGCGATCCCCACGACACTTCTCTTTTATGTCGTTTTCTTGTTCAGCAATCGCGAGGTTTTTAAACAGCATACATTTACTTCCATAAAGAACACAATACAATACAACGCTAGCTGACGTTTCGGCAGCATCGCCTTCTTCACAGCCTTCAGAGTCAGAGATTGTATATCAGTAGATTGTATATCAGTATGCCCTTCCAGGTTCTGAAGAAGGCGATACTGCCGAAACGACAGCTAGCGTTGTACTGTATTGTTTTTTATGGAAGTAAATGTATGCTGTTTAAAAACCTCGCGATTGCTGAACACGAAAACGACACATTCATATTCCAATGCCGAGGTTAAGAGAAAGTCGATCCTGGGAACTTCTCTTTTATATTCTGTCACCAGAAACCTCGTCTGTCGGCACTGACGAATACTCCCTTGTAATGCTTTCGAAATGGCGTTAATAACCAGCTGTTCGACCTTTGTCAATGCAGGATCTATCGTTAAAAAAAGCATCTCCTTTTTTTTTTTAAGGAACTGCTTATATTCAGTTGATAATAGTCTACAGGTTGTTTTCACAAAAGCTTACACGACTTGGTTGGGAGACCTCTCAGCAACAATTCCAAGTCTTCAGTAGGGATCTTTCTTATACGCCAATCATTGTGAATTTCACCGATGACAGATTCTTCATAATACACTTCTTTTGCCATAGCGGTTGTATTTCACACCACATCCTGCCAAAGGGAAACAATAGGGTTAATCAGAGGTGAAACAGTTTTTTTTGCAAGATGACTAAGCTTATTGCTCCTTTAATGGTTAAAGCAAATTTTTGCAAGAGCGCGATGATGTAAATTGGTTTAAAAAAATGAAAGGGTGCCAACTTCGCATTGCTTACGTCTGTTGTTAGCAAGAACGTAACCAATTTCTACATGCGCTGCACCGTTTAGGATTCTTAAAACATAATAAAAATGGTGTTTCTTCAACGAAAAAAACATTTCCTTGATAAGCTCTGAAAAATACTCCGATGAAAAAATCTCCACTTCCATTAGGCACCCTCTTACAAAACTTCTGATCCCGCATTTATGTTCACTTATCGTACGTATCCTTGTGCTGATTCGTCCACAGCAAATTCGCAGGACTTCACGTTCAGATGGATTCCTAGTGATCTTCGTTAAATGTCTGGGATTCCGCTCACAATGTGTAAGGCGTAAAATGCTATTGTGGTGGGTTTCTACCGTCTAATTTCATTCTCACCAAAAAAAGACAACCGTTCACAATCGGAAGAAGTATCCATATTGTGTCGTGGGTGTAGGGTTGTCCTTGAGATTTAGTGATGTCTTCCAATTAAACATGTTGAAGACTGGTCAAGCGTGGTTTTCTATTGAACATCGATACAGGAAAGGAAATCCCTAAGGGAAGAAAAGTAAGAAAATAGATAAACTCTATAGGGTAGCGATTTGGCATAGATGCAATGTCACCGTTCCAACTAGATTTGATTGCTCGTGGGTCGTTCTGCCGACATTTGAATAAGCACACCCAGTGAGTGGAGTACTAACACATGGGAGCATTGCTGGATGAGGCAATTTTTCTCTTGAGTCGTAAGGCGGTTTTTCAAGACCTTTGGAGATCCTCACTATAAGCACTCACAATTTCTTCTCCATCAGAAAAATGATTGCCAGTTTGCAACTAACTTTCCTCAAAGATAGTGTGGATTTTTAGTTCACCCCTAGCTGGGCTTCTCTATAGGAATATTAAGCTCTTTCTCAGTCTGTGTAATCATACTGAGCTAAAAGCCTTCCCTGTACATTGCAGCTCTACACCCAAAAATACCTAACTGTGATAAAGCAGTGAACCAGAAGCTGAACCACCGTACCTTTGACGATAATATGTTTGAATATCATAATTAAAGCAAAAACCGACAAAGAAAGGATATAGACCATTCAGACCAAATACACAAATAGAACTACAGTCTAGAACAATAAAACCAGAAAGTCAAAAGTTTACCAATTAGTGCTGCAAAGACCGAAAAAGGAAAAAGCTCGTTGTAAGATCTGTGCGTTTATTTCAAGCGACACAAGGAATCCTGGTATGCAACTACACCCAAAAAAGAAATAGAATAATAAACACGAATAAAATAGAATACAGTTGAACAATAACGATATCCATATAAATCATGAAATTACTTTCACGAAATGACTACGAAAAAAATCTGGTGACGAAAACTGAACCCTGTGCAAATTACGGATAGTATGGTTCGTGGTGCGCGATAATGAATAAAACTCATAAACATCGCACAACATTTACTAACAATCAGAAATAATTTTTAATTCAACTATTACTACTTAACGATCGAATTACACCACTACCAATAACCACAACGGTATTCACTACTTCAGTTTCCTTCAAAAAAGTTGTTCTTTTCAAATATATAAAAAAGTATCATAGACACTCACCCACCACCTGCCTTCTCGATGTTCTTGTCCAACGGCTACTGCTAACAACGAGCCACTGATAGAAAAGCGAACATCGTTTATAAAGCCCTTCTAAAAAAAATAACAGAGGTCCAGAGGTAAAAAATTAAACAAGGTATAAATAACAAGAATGTTGAGATACAAGCATATATGACATGGTATTATAACAGCATGTATGCATTTCACATTGTACTCTGTCAAGGAAAGGAAATAAGCAATAAATAGAAGTTAAAACATTGTTACGAAGCAGCTTCAGCTTAACTGTGTTCAGTACGGATTTGTATTCTCCAGGTTATTCCCGTTGATGGGTGGTTGTTTGGTCGTTGATATCACCGCTAGACTAAAGACATGGCTGCAAGAAAGGTAATCCAAGTGCCTTGGTTGGTGTGGTGAATGGCTAGTGAGCCCTCGTTAAGAGTTATACCAGGGTTCGAAGCTCTATTGAGGTTCTGAGTTTTACTCATATCCCAGAATATCTGTGGTTATACTTCACACTGCATCTGTCACAAAAACAGACCAGGCCGCAAATAAAGGTTAAAACATGAAATACATGGACAGTTTTTCACCATGAGATTTGTTTTCAAAAACAGGACCAATACCAAATATTAACGTTGGAGGTGGTTAAAAAGGAGAGAAAAAGAAAGCTACAAACACAGAGACACATTTTGTGAGAAAAGACTATCTTTATTTATTTATGAGAGCCGTCGTCACATATTGTGCGGAATCAGCTCTTTCGTTCGGTCCGTTCCTTGCACACGTTGTACAAAAAACTATGCAAATGGGAGTGGGCACCACTGCTATTTGGGATTTCGTCGACTCCGATTCACCTTGGAATTTTGGCAAAGCTTCGAAAGCCTTTCTAGGTCTTCGCCACCAACAGTCACCGAGCGTTGTGGACTAAAGAGAAGTTTTTCCAGATAAGTCTGGTAGCAAGATGTCATCATCGAAGGATGGCAGATTTAGTTGGCACAGTGTGACATTGAGAAACGACTTGTATTGCACATCATCTCTAACCACTTCATCTGCTACGTTCCAGAGGAGCATTGTTTAAAGTTTTTTCAGGACATTGAATACAAGATTTTTTTTATTTTACACGACCTGTTATCACAGTACTATGGGGATCCCAATACAACTTGAACTCGTTTTTCTTCGCATTCATTTTTCACAAGAGGTCTTCGAACATTTCACGTTGTTTCTCTTTGAGGAATTCGTCTTTTTTTTTTGCGAATGTCGTGTAATACTGGTCGAGTCAATTCTCCTTGCAATCTTGGAGATAGCCAGGTTAAGGAGTTCCCAAGTGGATTGCAGGAGGTTGTGGTAGGAATCGAACCAGCGCCTTTGCTTCCAGATCAACAGGCATCACTAACCACTGCGCTATCCAGGGTACTGGTGAGAACCATACCACTTAAGGAAAACGGACCACAACAATAATTCCATTGAAACCACCAAGATTCAACAACTTTCGAACATTTCGTAAAATGAGGAAAATTACCATCTCGTAAGCGAAAACCTGCGAAATGGTTTTAAAATCCGCGCCGATTTTCCACAGTTTTAATTCGCCGTCATCTGAACCAGTTGCCACCAAATCTAAATAGTACAATTTTTACCGAACAACTGATTGCAAGAAAAAACTTCTATTGTGCACATTAAAGTGCAAAAAAAAAAAACAATTGGGTAAAATTTCCAACTCGTTCTGAAAGTTTCTAGCGTTTTTGTAGAAAGCTAACAAATCTCACCAGAAAACGGTACAGCTGAGATACAAATCACCCATCGCGGAACCCCTGGAGCTCTCAATCCATGTATCAGTGGTCGAACAACCAACGGCTTTTTTTTCCATATTGACCACACACATAGTGACCTACAAAAACGTCGGAACACAAGTATAAGATATTCCGTAGATTACCTCTTACAACACCGAATGTAAAGCAGAATTTGCTACAAGGCACTGAAAGTTGAAATAAGCTGGAAAATACTACCCAAAGCAAAAAAAGTACAATTTTAAAACAAGAAAAACATGATACGACAACGCTCATGCAAGAATGTATGCGGCACTCATAACGGACAGAGCTCTGAGATTATAATGTTACTTAGAGGAAATTAGCAACAATTCTTGATTATAACCGATCGATTTTCTCGCAAAGACAGGTTCTGCTTCCGAAATATAACATCGCGAAGGTGATTAGCACGAAGTTAGCAAGGCTGTAGGCAAAGAACTGATACATTTTCAATGGCTATTATCTATGGATGTAGTTGTGAAGGAGACGAATTACGGCCAAGGACCAGTCGCGTAAACAGGTTGCTAAGGACGCAAAAAGATTCACCGATCTCTACCTTCAGTTAGAAAATGGACTGACATAGTTCGTGGATTAGTGGTGCTCCTGTTCCCTTTTTGGAACTGATCCTGTTGCGTCTGTAGCAATTAAACAACAACTAGATGTGGAAAAATCTACTAGCCCACCTTTATTTCCAGATAACGCAAATCACCTGTCTTGGGCAAAGTACGTCACAAAAAACCGTCAACTTACTCAACTATAGTTAACAGACATTGCAACCAAACAGTCTGGTTCGAAAGTAGTCGCTGCTTTTTGTCGTTTAGAAATTTTGTTTTAAAAAAAACCACAATATATGATTTCTTGCGCATACTTTAGTGCATGCATTCTCGAAACTTGTTTCTTGCCTATTTAAATCGTAATTTCCTCTCTAACACTTAGTTTCAAAGGATTTTAAGCTGGTTATGATGTTCTCCTAACATAAAAATAATAAAGCTTTGCTATGTGAGTTCAAACTTGGATACGAAGCAACGGTGGCAACACGACATGGTCATTGTAGCGTTAACGAAGAAAATGAATGCTCAATACAACCCAGACGGTTCGAGATCGTTCGTACGGGAGAGCAGAGCTATCAGCTTTTTTGACGGAGGAATGCTAGCATCGTCAATCGATAGTGACGGTCTGGAAGCGATAAACGAAATCGTCTTTCCAAAGAACCGCTTGAGGTGCTGTTGGAGGTCGACATTCACCTGTCAACAATCGTTCTCTTTGGGAAACACCAAAAAAGTGAATAAGCTTGAAAAACAGGTGAAACACGAGCTGAACAAACAGAAAGGAGATCCTCGCCAAGACGTTTCTCTTATGCCCTTTTACGTAACAAAAACAGTATATTCCTCGATCAAACAGTGACATATACTCTATCGAATCTTGGCAAAACCGTGGAGAAACCTGCAACGTATTCAACCAGATTCATTCGTAGGAAAGGTCCTTCTACACAAAAGCTCGATCGCTCAGTGTACAACTAACGCTGCAGAATTTGAACGAATTTGGGTAGAGGAATCTTCTACTCTGTTTATGAGACCTCCCATCAACCCTTATTAAGTTTCTGAAGCAACTGGATAAATACTTTAATGGAGAACTTTCAACAAGCAAACCGCGGCTAAAAATGCTTTAGAAGAATTCTTAACTTTAAGAGCTTCAGCAATTTGTATTACCAAAACAAGTTATGTCATGTGGAATGGACCGATCGATTGCTTAAAATGGAAATGTCTCATTAGCTGCAGTATGGAATTACCAAGAATTAACAATTCCAGATTTCCTATGAAATACGTCAAACACGCACTATGCAGCCAATGATGAAAATTTGCGAAAACGACGACCGACCTAATACGATTATCTTGTATGTCTAGGGCATGTCATTTTTGAATAGCATTCAGCACTTCAATGAAGACGGAAGTCCACATGTCCCCAAGTTTCATCCAAATACATACCCAAACTCAACATCCCCTTAGGATGTCGGGTGCAATTAACAAAAGCATGGCAGTGAACCATACGATTTGTTAAGGCAGCTCATTTGAGCACCTAACTAATATTTCTGCTAACAGTAATGCAAATAGTAATACTTTTCAAACTCTAGGAAACTCGAAATCAGCCAGAGTTTCAAAGAATTGAACTCAATGATAGCAAACACCAATAGATGCATTCGAGAACACCATCGCGCTCTGCTGGGAAAAATTCAGCCCGCCAATGACTCCACTGTTAAAATACAAGATCTGATAATGAAAAAAAAATAAAAATTTAAGATCTAGGTGCTTCCTTGGAGTTGGATTTTTTGCCGGCGTAGTTTACTCTACGAGAAAAGGAATCGAAAAACAACGTTCGCTTCACTACCAGATTTTGTAACCTTCGTCAACAAAGTAGGAAAAATACTACTGAGTAAAGTAGAACTAGACAAACAAGGCAAATTCACAATGAACATTGCTACAAATAGCTTCATTCTTCATACGGTCAGAAAAAAAGTCGAAAGCTGCGATATTTGTCAAAGAGCTGAATCATTTGCTGGTCTCATGCCACCTCTACATTTCTTCACTCTCACCACATTGCGCAGAGATCTAGTCATCACTTTTTCGTGTTCTGTTTTCACTCTTTTCCGTTGTTTAGGGGCTACAATTTACGCTTGAAAACCGTACCTAAATATATTGCAAAATAACCAACCCATCGGTAGACCCAGATACAAAGTGCTCCTCATTCAACATTGAGACGCAGTCCATACTTATACATGTGGAGTGGCCATTGAACAACTAGAATACCTTCGTTATAAATAATTACTTTAAACGTCCAAAATTTCAGCAAAGAATTGTATAGTTTGCATCTGCATATCTGATTTCATTACGAACCGTATTTATACCAGGTCTGCAGATGGAACAAATTTTAAAAGGTTGACATAGAACCGCATACTCTTACCAACTGGCTCTCGTCTTCCACCTTCCAAAGTCGGCAACTTTTGTCCTGCCGGCCAGCTGTTACAACTCTTTGCTTCTGAAGAGCACTTACAGCTGTAACAGCGTCCTGGTGACCATACATTGTATCTACGAGTCCTTTTTGGTCCAAATCCCATAGCTAATATAAAAATAAAATCATACTTAACAAAGTTATAGAAAATAAACTTGTACTACAAAGCTAACAAAATAATAAAAACTAATCAAGTAAGAGAGGAGTAGATGAAAAAAAAAACTAGTAGATAACCTTTACAGATCGATCACGGCTAGCAGAGAATAAAAAATTGGTTTTCAGTTGGAAGCAAAGTGCAGTAATCGGACCGCGATGTCCTTTAAAATCGCAGACATGATCCATTGTAAGAAAGTCCCAAACCTGAATTTTTTCCATAAATCTGCCAAACTACTGTGACATTTAGAAATAAAGTCTTGCTGTTTTCAAAAAATCATTTGAGACAAAGTCTAAAGTTCCTTCGCTGAATCATCGGACAGCATATGCTTCTTTGCTGATTGCGAAATGCATTGGATTCAAACCGCAGTATTGATTAAAACTTAAAGGGCAAGAGACATGCAGCCATCATTAGCGACAACCTCGTTGCTAAACTCTCTTTAAAGAAAACGAAAGGGATAAGAGATCGCTGTCAAGTGAGGTTACCCCATTCGAGCGGTGCTCCAATGAAGTAGATTCGACTCGGTACGACGACGAAGACGCCACATCAAACGTACGAAAATCTGTAGACATGGACTCTAAGGAAGACAAGGACGTCGAAATGTTAGCCGAATAAATATCTTTATCAACCTCATGTTAGCTTAATAATCTAAGAAGGAATTGTTTTGTTAAAAAAGGGGTTTAAAACATGTTTGTAACACGATTCCAGTTGCTGAATATGGAAAAACACAGAAATTTCAGTTACTATGAATAGTAATAGTAAAATAGTAGCATAGTAAAAACCTCCTCTCTTCCCATCAAGAAAACATAGGATTGCCGTAGAATATGGCTTGTATTGACCTCGACATCTGTGGTGGGCTGGTTACCGATGAATAGGAAAAGTAAGGCGAAAAACAAAAAATCCCTACGCAGTAAAACAAACAAACAACTGACAGGGAGTAGTTGAACCGCCTCATAGTTCAAAAAATTCTTTATAGCCGCAATCCTTTGCGTCAGTTAAGATTGAAATTATTGACGATTTTCACATTTGCATAAAAAACTTGAAATCTTGAGTACAGTACGAAATGAATTTCGTTACTGTTACAATAAGAATTCTCATACCTTGAGAACGGCATCAAATCCACCAGAAACTATATATTTGCCGTCCGACGAGATGGTAACCGAAAATATATGGCCATGATGAGCATGCTGAGCTGCACCATCAGTTTTTGTCCGTTTAATTACTCCACTAATTTTTCGAGCAGCTATATCGTCTTAAAAAAGGAAAAATGGAAGCGAAGTCATCAAAACGGACAGTGGCAACGACGAACATTTTACTATACTTGACTCTTTTCCAGAACTGACGACGTACTTCCCACAAGGAGAAATTGCAACACTTAGCGGTGTGAACCTGATAAAACATGAAGTGCCGAAATATCATCTAAATTTTGAAGAAGAAAAAACAAAAACATTGAGTAGAGGTAGAAACACTGTAAAAGTATAACCACAAGGACGCCGAGATACGAGCAAAACTAGGGACCTTGTGCGTGCTTATGACTTGCGACTACCCTTACCGGGAACTTTCATGTGCTATTAGATACACTAACCGAGGCTTTTGCATTGCCTTTCTCTTAGCCAGTTTTTCACCCTAGTCGTGTCATTAGCGATCACCCGTAATCTAGGGATCACAAATGGAATTGAACCCTGTCAAGGTGAAGCTATAGTCAAAATCACAATAATTTCGCTTTTATTTACTGCTTAACTTTTTTTCATAGTAGTGTTATGTGAAGTAAAACTACGTGATGCTGAGATATGAGCAAAACTCGTGTGGATAGCACAGGAGTCCTTGGTAAGGGTAACTACTGGTATGAAGGCCACCTAAGGTCTCGAGTTTTGCTCATATCTCAGCATTCTCGTTGTTGCGCTTCAGATAATAGCCTGCTGCAAGAAAAATAATAAGGAGGAAATAAATGTGAAAACATTGAGATTTCGACTGCAGCTTCACCTTAACTGGGTTCAATGCCATTTGTACTCAACAGATCACTCCCGATGATGGATGATCGTTGATAACCAATAAACTGGTTGAGCGAAACGCAAAGCAAGGGCATGGGTTGGCGTGATTAACAACACGTGAGCCTTCGGAAATGGTAATCGCTGTTTTGAAGCCCAACTGAGGCCCTGAGTTTTGCTCATATCTAAGCATCTTTGCGGATGCATATCACGTAATACACTGCTGTGAAAAAAGAACAGGCAGTAAATAAAATCAAACTATGACTGTAATTCATCCAAACCTATGTCCTCGATGGGTAATTTCTTCATTGTCACGCAATTCAGCTAGATCAGCTATCTTCTTGTGTAACGTCCCAGCCTTAACAGAAGCGTCTCTCTTCAACGTTTCGCCTATTTCTTCTTCAGTTTTTCCGCTCTCCTGGAATAAGTATACGTTCTCTATTAAAACATCTAATCATTTCTATCGTGATCTTAAAGCGCAATGCCTAGTTATATCACGCCCTTGGCACCAAATTTCAACATTTGTGGGACACTGCCACTTTTTGTGAATAATGTCACCCATATACAATCCACGTATAACAATGCATCACTAATATGGATAGAGCACACCGGTACATGTAGCACAGCGGTTAGAGGTGCCTTGAAATATACATGGGTTCGATCCCGCACCTCAGACTCACCAGGTTTTCTATCACTCCTGGGTCGTAAGACTGATAGCAGATCAGTCTAGGAGGACAACAGCACTGACTCGATACATCGTTAGACCAGCGCAAGTCAATGTATAGGCCAGATACGCATTCAATCACTTCTAAAATGATGCTTGATGAAGTCGAATACGTGGCACATCCCTCAGGGATTGATCAACGCGTGAACCTTTTTCCCTTAAAAGTAAATCAAAAATTTTTCACACTTCAATCTTTTTAAATGGACTTTTGTTATTTTTATCCTTCATTATACTTGACATCACATGCCGTGTGATTTCCAAGATTTTTTCGAATCGATTCGTTTCCTAGCAGCCCAAGTGCACGAAGGTCTTTAGGTTTTCGTGTGAATCGGCTGCTAACCGAGGTTTACTGTTCTTCTTCTAGAATATCGTTGTACCTAGGCTAAAATTGCAATGTCATCACCATAGGCAATCATTAAACTGTGGATTAAACGTAGCTGTTCCCAGAAAATTGTACCAGTTTGCTTACTACGGAAGAATTAAAGGTTTAACCGGCCTGGTGAGAGGTCAAATCAGGGCCTACCATGTATTGAACAGTACGTGTACCACTGCTTCCACCCCCTCGAAAAAATTAACTTTAGAAATAAATTCACGATTTCCCACGATGGAAAAGATTAATATATATAAACGAAAAATACAAAGCATTAATAAGTTGCAAAGAACGCATAATATAGCTCACATGAAGTTTCTGCAAGTATTCTTTTGCTTTGATACGCACAATGTCTTCAACTGCATATTCACCTTCACTGCCACTCGATATCTGATCACCAGTGTACGAAATCTGAATTAATTCACTTCAAAATCAAAGATTGAGGGTTTTCACACATCGTGAACATCTATGGCACACCTCATCTTCATCTGAGCTGATTTCAGTCTTTTCCATCATACGCCGTCTACGAGAAAGTCTCGCTTCCCTATCATCACCATCTTTCATACTCTGCAACATACGTCAAAACCTAACTGGAAATCGAAATTAAAACTATACTTTCGAAAAAACGCAACCTATTTGGAAAAAAACTACAAACGAACTCGTTTCGTGCCAAGCTTCTTTCGAGGGCCATTCGTTGAAGACAAAAAAAACCCCGGCATAATGTCTTCAATTCGTCGACATCAAACTCAAAAGATTGCTTGATTATTAGACAAGTTCTCATAATTGCAGCAGTGGTAAATATCGTTGATGCAGTGTAGAAACACAAAATATTCCAATCCCAAAAAAGAAAAAGTTTATTGAGATCTAATAACAACATGGAAACGTTAATGCAACAATCACGAGAAACATCAGCATTTGTGAAAAATAGAACCTAGAATATTCCACGGACATTGATTCTTCAACGGTAGACTATAGCATCTTCGCAGAGCAAAAATGAAAGAGCTGGATTCGAAAAAAATAAATTAACTAGAACCCCGAATAATAATTCACGTAGGATATGAATATGTTCAAACAGATTTCTAAGCACCCTGATTTGCAGACAACATTTCTATGAAATGTCTATCCACCAAGATCAACAGACCGTTTCCTCATTGCTTCATTGCATTGGGAGTGATTAGCAGAATATTGAAGCTTTCATCCTAAAACATAGACCAACGAAGTACTGCAAGCTTAAAAATATAACACAATATCATGAAAATACACATAAATATGCAACTATGAACTGAATGAGCAAAATCCTCTAGCCTAAAATACCATTCTATGAAGCGCTGGGAATTTAAAAATGGAAGATAATACGAGGAATTTGAGTTAGTATGCTCTTATGAAGTGTCCGCGAAGATCTGATGGGAACACTTTAAAACGATTTCTTTTGTTGTTCTAAACGGCCTTCTCGCCGCTTCACCTTCTTCAGCTCCGATGTCTTTCTTGTTGTTCACTTTCTCAAGAATGCGATGCTGTTTTTTTTGTGAAAACTTCATGAACGAAGCGTTGGAAAGAGCCTTTGCTCTATAATTACTTAAAACTGATACCTTGGTACATGAGGAAAACGGCTGAAGCATGCACGATCATGGACAATTGTGTTCACCATTGGACACAATCACTATTTGTCTTGTTTGCGAAGGAAAAATACTAACAGTTCCTTACCGAAACTGACTATATTTGTGAACCACATTTTGGTAGTTAGGTCGCCAGTCTTCACCAACTCTGCGGTTCCTGCCAGATTTTCCAACCAGTTTATTCCTTTGCAACTGCTGCCTACTATGGAGGATTGCCTGGAGGAGTGTTACGTGGGCGAAACCTGTAATCTTTCTTAGCTGCGAATACAAGCAATTGGCGTAACCCGCAAACACGCTCGTTAACTTTGAACCTTTTTCCGAGAAATTCTAATTCTAACATAAACGGCTCAACTCGCTTCACTTCCAAAGTCTATTCTCTTACATCTCGAGAATGAGTGACACTTGAGGACCATAACTGATAGGAAGCCTTCAGAAGAAGTAGGAACAAAAGCCTTCAGCAACAACTATGTACTGGTAAGATCTCCGCTGGAGGAAAACCATTTGAAATTCCTTCACGGGGAGTTTGAGTTGCTAAAGAAAACATGAAAAGAGGCATAGCTCCAGAACCCGATGATATCACTGCCGACTTCTGACTTAGAGCTGTAAGCCACAATCTATATGTACTTCTCGTAAATCATTTGACAGCCTACCTTCAAAAGGAAAAAATCCCAGACCAGTGGAGGACATCGCGCACGGTCATCCCGCCCAAGAAAGGAGACCGAAGGGATCTTCGTAACTATTGTCCGATATGCTTGTTCAATGTAGTCAACAAGCTCTTCACGAACATTACCCTCTCGCTCATATCATAGAAATTGGATGAGGCACAAACAGTGGAGCAAACAGAATTCTGACAAGGGCTTTGCTGCATGGACCACATCCAAACTGTGTCTGAGGTCACTGAAGTTTGTCGGAAATACCACTTGCCCATAGTCCTAGCCTTTGCCGACTTCGACCAAGCAGTGGGCCCGTCCTATATAAAGACTCTATCAGACTGTTATCGGAACTGCACCACGAAAATACAGCCTTTCCACCGACCTCTTACAATACCCATAGAAAAAGGGGTTCGACAGGGCGACACAATATCGCCAAAGCTGTTCAGTGCCGCAATACACTGGATAATGAAGTCACTCGAGTGGGATGAGAAAGGCATACGTATTGATGGAAAATCCCTATCAAACCGTTTTGCCGTCGACATTGCCATCTTCTCAAGAAGTACTAGCGAAGCAGAGGTGATGATCAACGAGCTCAACGAAGCGGGGAAAAAGATCGGCCGAACGTTCAAACGAACTTGTGCAAAAATGGGTAAACCACCAAACCATGCCTAAAGCCAAGTAGCAAAAACATACTGGTTCATCACCTATTCTCTCACCCTTCATACAAAATGAACCTTAAAAGGTAATTTGTGAAGAATGTGTTCCGTACAGCGGCAGGTGTGTGTACAGGAAGAGTGGAGTAGGAGGAACCTCTAAACTTGGGGAGAGGGAGTGTAAAATACCAGTAGCTCATCGGGATAGGTTTAGAGAAGGCGCATGTCAAAACGATAGGTCTGCTGAAAATAGAGTATCGATCATCCTGCCATTTACTTTCAAACAAAATAAGCGCAACTATAAAACGATGTTCAAAAACCTCCGGTTTAGGTAAGTCGATGGCGGTGAACGAGGTCCCACTGTACATTCTAAGACGTCAGGTAGCTCGTAACTGTTTGTATAAACGTATGTAAGAAACGCGTAATTAAATAATTTACCATTATAGAAGAGTGGCGTGTAGGGCGCAGTGGTCGGAGGCGCCTTGTAATACATATGGGATCGATTTCCACGCCCCTGACCGACGAGGCGGCCCATCCCTCTGGGGTAGGCTAAGTGGTACCAGACTTGCCTGGGAACATAGTAGCACTGGCTCGATACATTGGTGAACCACCTCGAGTTATTGTAAAGACCTGACATGCATCCAATCACCTCCAACGATGCTTAATGAGGTTGAATGCAAGGCGTATCCATCAAGGATTGATCAACGTCGAGAACTTTATCCTTAATTTTACCCTAACAAAAGAGACAGTGATTACATGAGTCCAGGTACCGTGTACTTTATGTCTTGCAACGGGTGTGAGGACGAATACGTTGGAATACGAACGCATTAATTTGTAAACCACTCAGTGTTTGTACAGAACAGCTAGACGACAAGCGTGAAGTTGAACAAAAAACTCTAGGCGAGCATAGGATCCACGGACTTAACGGAAAGGGTTTGAAATAGAAGTCATAATTCACGCGCGAGAGTTGAAACTTTATTGTGTGGAAATCTTGAAGCGTTTTGGATAACTCCACAAATCAACAGCAAGGATGGGTGCCTTGTGATGGCGAGTGATCTCGTGCCAAATCTCAGATCCACTTTTTGATATGAGCCGTGCACACTTCTCATCTATGTGAGACTGTGCGGCTGGTCTCAAATAATAATGAGAGGACACAAGAACAACAAAACGATGAGTGTTTAAGCGAAGCTACCCGTTATGCGAACGATCATTTACCTATTAAGTTTTCTCTGCTAAATTATAATAGCTTTCGAATGAGTGGATTGCATGTCAATTTTATTCTTCTCGGCTCTGAAGAAGGTGAAACCACCGAAACGTTAGCCAGCATTGCGTTGAATAAATGTTGTTGTTGAGAACTTCACATTTGCTCATGAAGAAAAGTGTATTAACGACCAATTAATATGGGACGTTTATGAAGTAAAAATAAAGTAAGAAAGAAATTAAACGGAAAATTCGCGTTAAATATTACCGTATTACCAGCAACTATTACCCTTCGATACCATTTGAGCGGTTGCGCAAAAGCGATTCCTCAACGGCCTTTCGTGCCTGCCGCACTTCACGATCTTGGAGTTCCGCCCGAAACTCCTAATAATATAGATATGTGTGGGAACTAATTCAATCGAAAAAGGTAAATCTCATACATCCATGTTCTTTCCCGTCTTTATTATGACATTGTCCAAAAATTGCGGAATATTAAGTGTTTGTTGTGACTGTGCGGAAATATACTGCGAACTTTCAACCATAAGTAAACGGCAGGCGCGAAACTGGAACGCTGGATCCCGAGTTGATCTGTAAAGTTTAATGGACGAAAACATCCAAACACTTGACTAACAGATCACGAAATACTCTAAAAAATATATAACATGGCGCAGCCCTAACTACTGTTATGAAGTCAACTCACTTATACTGATCTTCGACCTGTTGTTCTGGATCTAACTCGTCAAGTGGATCTCGAAGAAAGCTTGCTAACGAAGGAGTGAACCTTCTGAAAACGAAATATCTTGGGAATGAAAGTAAGACCGTTAAAAACCAAAAGAAAAATAGCCACCGTCTTTCATTTCTGCAGGCTGATAACAGATCTGGCTCGATACTCCACAACTTTGTCAGTTCTGGGGTTCCTATATCTACCAGTGATGGATCAAAAGTCGTCCGCGGTCTTCTAAAAAAAGCTAACCGTCTTTCGCTGACATGTTATAGAAGGGAAAGTTGACAAATGAAGACTATTGGTAAACCAGAAACTCAACAATGAACTGTTAAATTGCCCTATAAGTTCCTTCAGAAAAATTCGTTTTAACATTTCTACGAAAAAGCTTCCTCAAGTCCATAAAATTATTTTTGCTTCTTTAGCTCCTATGTATTCTGTGTGGGTGGATAGGGTAGCGCAATAGTTAATGATGCCATCGATCACGAGGCAAAGCCGCTAGTTCTCAAATGCTCCCCCCTCCTCCACCTACCCCCAGTCGACAACGAAACGCCTTAGTGAGACCACCTCTAAGATTGCAATCGACAATGCCAGCATTCTATGAGAATCACAAAAAAACGAAACTCAAGTAGTAGCCGAAAGAAGACGCAAAATTAACGAAGACCATTGCGGACGATGGATGCGAGGAAACGAATCGAATGCAGAATGTGCTACCATCTGCAAAGTAGATGTGGTGAAAGATGATATAAAAATAAAAAAAAAACCCTGTGTATTCCTATAAACGGTATTCCACAATTTACGTGCATTTCCACCTCTTGTGAAAACTGGATCTTCCTCACTGAGAAAGCTCGATCCGGATAAAAGCAACGCTACGCGGTTCGTTTCCATCTAAAGGACAGAGGGAAAGAAAATGCGGACGAGAAGTGGCCACGTCCTCCTTGAAATGCATGTGGATGCAGCAAAAGGACTGCTTGTCTCGACTTTGTCGATTCAATATTTGCCATATATTTTTACGCACATATGTGTATGTGTGCGAAGGTGAATGTGCACGCTTATAGGGAAACTATTTTATGGGTGTAGCACAGCGGTTAAAGTGCCGTGCAATATACATGTGGTAGTTTGTTCGATCCCATGCTTCAAGCTCACTAAGCCTTCCATCTCTCCAAAGTCGATTGAATGATACCAAACTAGTTTAGGCGACAGCAGCTCTAACCTAGTACATGGATAGGTCATCGTAAATCATGGAATACACCAGATATTCATTCAATCACATTGATGAGGCTTGGAAGTTTATCCTTTTATTCTATATGCTAGTTTGACTAAAAGCCTACAACGTGAGATTGGAAAGTGTATGGGACGGAATCAGGTGTTTTCAGCTAGCTTTCAAGAACATTGAGTATGCAGTGAAGAGGTAGAAGAAGACTCGCGGCTGTGTCCGTCTTTTCGACTCTGCAACTATTCGTGGTTTAGCGTCGGAAACCTGAACATACATGAGCAAGAAGAATGACTATTCAGAGATATCGAACAAGCAATCGGAAGGGCAAAGATGGAAGTATTTCACGCAAGTGACAGGAAGTGCAAAGCTGCGACCCAAAATTCCCAGCAAGGTTTGCAGGCAAGGTTTACGCATGCCAAAATACCTAAAATCAGATAGGCCCAAGATTTCTAAATGTGTCTAAACGAGAACCGATCTAAAGGAATTGTTGGCAGCTGGGGTCCTAAGGCAGTTAAAACGCATGATATAGAGACCAACGAACCCGAACTGAAAATTCTTTTACGAAGATTCTCGGAAAAAATATGCTCAGCTAGTCCATGAAGTGAATAGAAGGAAACGGGATGGCCCTGCAAGCTACAGAGACAAATGAACACTTTACTGGTGCCCGCCCACTCGAGTAACCTGACGATCTATTAGAAGTCAGATGTGGTACATCCAGAGCAATCACATTTCAGAACGTGTTATTCCATGAATAATAGCTACGGTGTGATGTTCACTCTTCGTTGGCTTCATAACATAAGTTAGGCATAATTTGGTACTTTTAAAAGATAGTTTTACAACCACCACATAACACTTAATCACTTAATTAATCGGCACTTAAGCACGATAATCGTCATTCACGACAGCTGTAGCAAAACAAGAAAAATAGATAATTTCGTATGTTAACAGTCCTAGAGTCTTTAAAATAAGCTCAGGACGAGATAGAGAGAAATCTCATGTAGTTCTTCTCGACCTCGAATCGTAGGATGACGACAATGTGATAACGAAATTGGTGGCGAGTATTCGCATTGTTTACTGCCTAATCACCCTTAGACCCTCGATGAGAGCAAACCTAGAGTGGACTAATTGACTCCCTTGGATGACTGGAACCGGTTTCTGTAACAGCAATCAAAAGGAATTGTTGGGGAGATAAGCGCACAGAGCGATCTACTGTGACAATGTGGAGAAGACCGCGATAGATGAGTTTAAAGCCTAATCCCAGTTCAGTCAGCGCTTAAACGGTGCTTGATTCAAACAGATACAGCGGAAGTTTCTATACTTAAATGTAGCCATGTTCTGGATGACAGTATTCAAGAGGCAATGGGTATAAAATGCTGGCTTTTGCAAGAAATCAAAAATACGTCACAAATCTAGCTGCAGATATACGTACCAAACATATGAAACTGTGAGACAGGCGAACCTAGTGCGGTTAACTGGAAAAAAATTTTATTCCACCCTATCCTAATCCGATGTTAGTGACATAGAAACAGCAAACTAAACTAGAGAATGCAAAGTTGTTTTGACCATGACGGTTACAACGCCACTTGCAGATCACGAGCTAAAGATTGAAAATCTACATAACCCTTCCAAATACACATGTGGAAACACTAACATCTGATGAATACCCGGTCTTCCTACAACGAATATTTTCAGTGACACTGAACATGATTTTTCACAAGAATCACATCATTATTGGTTTTTTTAATGATATGACAAGCCTATAATACACACCGTACAACCTCCTGTGATAGGGACGCCATATGAGTTCCACAAGTCCACTGAATTCATCCGAAAAAGCTATTTGCAAATTGGAATGTGTTTAAAAAAGCATTTCTCAGGCAATGCCTAGTATAATTCTATGGTTTTCTTGAATAAGCAGACACGAGGCTAAAATTACAGAAGTTATTAACATACAACAGCTGACGTTTCGGCGGTTTCGCCTTCTTCAGATACTGGAAAGGTCAAGTTGAGATGCGATCTACTCAGCCAAACACTTCCATAAACCTAGCAAATAACTTAACAAATAAATTTGTATTCGCATAAGAAACAGCTTCATTTAAACAATTCGCATAAGAAACAGCTTCATTTAAACATCAACCGTTTATTTGTTGTAAGCATTTAAGTTAGTTGGCGTATAGCAGAAGCACATGGGCGATAACTGTGTCTGTGTCAGATCATTGGATTAGCCTAAGGCATGGCGCCAAGTCACGCGTGATGGCAAGACACTCCTCCTTGCGGTTCATCTTTGAATTCTTGGAATTGATCCAAAAGTCTTCAAGAGTTTTACGCGCTGATATTTTCGATTCCTGCGTGAAGATAGTGACTTCTACGTCGAAATTTTCTCCATTGTGTTCCTGCATCCTATACGCGCCTAGTGGAGTGTTCGGTTTTGATTTAGATTTAGAATTTTTTTTAGAATTCTTTTAGGATTTCCTATTAGAATTTTAGAACCTAGAACCGCCACCAGCGTGTGTATAGGTAGAGAGTAGAGGGAAGAATCCTCGAAACTGGTGCGCCATTTAGCCATTTCCAATGGTTACAAAACTGCAACTTCTCGGCATAGACATAGAGGAAAACCCACGCCCCAGAGCGATAATTCTAGCGAAAATAAGGCTTCGTTCCTCTCGCCGTTTATTTCAAACGAAATAGGTGCAGCTATTAAAATGTTGCTTAATAAGGGCCGGTCTAGAGAATTCCGTAGGACCATCGGACACTCTAAGATGCCAGCTAGTTCGCAACCGCCTATAAGACCGTCTACGTATAACGAAAAGCTGCATAATTTGCCCTAACGGTAGAGACGGTGATTGCATGAGTTCGGGTACAGTCTATCTGATCTCCTGTAAAGCGTGCGGGAAAGAATTCGTTGGCGGAACGGGTATACCGCTCTGCATCCGCATAAAAGAACACCTAGTCGGTAAATCTAAATTAAAACCAAACACTCCACTAGACGCACATAGGATGCAGGAACACAACGGAGAAGATTTCGACGTAGGAGTCACTATCCTCACGCACAAATCAAAAACATCAGCGCGTAAAACTCTTGAAGCGTTTCGGATCAATTCCAAAAATCCAAAAATGAACCGCAAGGAGGAGTATCTTGTCATCACGCGTGACCTGGCGCCATGCCTTAGGCTAATCCAATGATCTGACACAGTCACCGTTATCGCCCACGTGCGGCTGCAATCCACCAACTAGCTTAGGTATTTACAACGAATAAACGGTAGGTGTTTAAATAAAGTTTCTTATGTGAATGCAAATTTATTTGTGAAGTTTTACCTGCTAGGTTTATGGAAGTGTTTGGCTGAGTAGATCGCATCTCAACTTGACCTTTCCAGTCTCTGAAGAAGGCGAAACCGCCGAAACGTTAGCTATTGTATCCTAATAAGTTCTATAATAAAAACCTCGTGTCTGCTTATCGAATTATCAATCAGTGCCGAGGCTAACAGAACGTCGATCTTGGGAATGCCTAGTATAACCATAAAAAACTAAGTCAGATATGACTCATAACGGCTAAAGTGCTCCAACATTTATAAGTCATATACATTCATATCGTCCGCAATCTTTTAAAGATAAATATGGGTTAAGACAAACGCATTAAGAAAAGCCAACTTTTTATACGGCTGCATTGGCTGCTTGTCTGCAAGATCTGCCATGCTAGGACAGGACTCGCTTTTCCATTCTGCCCATTCAAGTTCGCGCTGAAGAATATGCTGAAATGATTTTAACACTAAGAAATTTCCCAACTAATAACAAATCGTTTCAACGAGAACCTTCACGCTTTCAGCAAAATGTCCGCCTTTAGGATGGGTCTCACGTAAAAGTCGATAACACTTCTCCTGGCTTTCGTTAACAAATTTCGCTTGATCATCACTGAGACTTGCATTCCTTCTAAAACTTTTAAATACATTTATCGACCATTCAAAAGCTTGCACTTCATAAAACAATTAGTTTGTTTTGAAATCATTACCAAGTTCATCTCTCTTAAGACATGAAAACTAATCACAGTTCAAATGTAAAACGAATAAAACTCACTGTTTCATTTTGCTTGATATGTATTGGCAAAGTATGATGAATTGGATGAGGAAATAGCGTCGGAATTGTGAATCATTCAGCTGTAGTTGCAACAACTAAAAAATAACTCAATGTTATCCACAATCTCCCTCATTGGAAGTCACGTAAAAGCGGTGAGTTTTTCGACAAGCTGTTGATCATGTAATTACCATGGAACTTTTCGTCTTTTTGTAAGTGCTATTGAAGCGTTTGGCCTAGTAGATTGTATATCAGTGAACCCTTCCAGGCTCTGAAGAAAGCGATACTGCCGAAACGTCAGCTACTGTTGTATTGTATTGTGTTTCTCTATGGAAGTAAATGTATGCTGCTTAACAACCTCGCGATTGCTGAACAAGAAAACGACGCATTCATATTCCAATGCCGAAGTTAAGAGAAAGACGATCCTGGGAACTGTTACAAGATGTACCAGCAAAATACTTTCGACTTGTGAAGGAAGCATTGTCACTAAGACAAAAGATTGTCTTAGCTAGACAGCAAATCAACTTCCTCCGCCGCTGTTTTCAACATCGAGTCGTGCTGAAGTTTATAAAACGCAAGCGGCTTCACGAGATATGCGGTCAACCAGAGGATAGCCAACAAGTACGAGGCATCGAAATGGAACTACTTCGAGCTGCACTACGAAGCAAGTAGAACGAGATGTTTACCAGAATGAAGAAGTGTGCAACGAAGGAACATTTTTGTGCCTTGTGTTTGAAGGATGAGAAAACTTTCGACGAGAATAGTTGAAGGGTATATATTGACATGCGTTTTTATTAGGATCTAATTCCAAAATAACCTTACAACGAAAATTCCAAAATCTTATGAGTACACATGTCTCAGCTTCAAAAAACAACCGCAAACGAATTCCTTACGTTTCTGATAGTAGTCAAAATGCGGTTGATAATGCACCAAGAAATCTAGGATCACCGTAATTGGCGGCATAACAATACCTGATAGAGTGCGCGCTCGCTCTATAATTGGGCCGAAGTTTTGAACCATCACAGCCCATTTCTAAAACGACCCTGCGTAGGATAGCATGCAACCTTTATGAGCTTCAAGATCGACTCGGCTATCAGGCTAAACAAGGGACATCAAATTGAGATGAAAATCAGTGGGCGGCAACACAACCACCACCTCCTTCCCCTAAAACGTTTTTTAGACAGCAGGACCCTAAAGATGGAGTTGACATAAAATTCCGCATGTTTTCGGACGGCGTTCTTAAGACCCTTAATCATTACCGCTATAGAAACTTTCTCTAACCTTACAGCGGCACAAAAATGTGGCATGCGAGAAGTTAGAGAATTAATAAACTCGAAAACAATAAGATTGTCTATTAGTGACAATGGGGAGAATTTGTAGTTACTCCTCGCCAGCTGTATGTTGAGATAACAGAGGACAACATGCCCCGTCCTATACCCCTTATTAAAACACGTAAGCTGGTATCACGTGATGATCTTGCATCAACCAATCCGTCATCATTTAAGGTTAGACCAGCTGCGTAGACGGGCAACGGGTAGAATAACCTGGTTTTTAAGCCTAATACTAATCCAATTTCTTAAACATATTCCAGCTCACTTCACGAACACACAAATGTTCCTAGAACGTTTACGTAATGCGTCTCCTAATAACGCGTACGTGATGGAAGCTTTCGAAGTTTCTGCGCTCTACACCGACGTATCGAATGACTCCGCAATGCAAGCCATCTTCGAACTTCTTGTTGAGCATGAAGGAAGAATAAATATGCATGGCTTGTTCATCAAGCAGCTAATGGCTCTCTTAAAGGAGTGCCTAAACTGCTCGATTTAAGATGGTCTGGGAAATACTTCGCGCAAATATGGGGGTTGGCAATGGGACAGCGCCTGGCACAAAACCTTGCCATTGTGTTTATGTCTAAGATAGAAGCCCTTGTTCTCGATCTCCGGCCACCACTCTACTCCAGATATGTAGGTGATTGTTTTGTCGTCTTCTCTACGCAGGAGGAGATGGACGAATGCTTTGAATTATTGAGCGAGCGGTCCGAGTACACAAAGTTCACCTGGGAGAGACCGAGAGAAAACTGGTTTCCGTTTTTGGACGTTCAAATAAACCTATCAAGTAGCGGTTACCTGACAAAGTGGTATCGAAAGAAAAGTAACAAGAACATAATTGTTCATTTCCCTTCTTCCCACCCTTCACACACAAAGAGGGCGATTGTGAGAAACATGTTTCGAACAGCCACCTCTGTGTGCACAACCAGGGAACTAATGGAAGAATCGCGCGTCGGCAAACAACCATCTCCGATGGCTACGAAATACTAACCCCACGAGACAAGTTTAGAAAGAGAGGAACGCGCCCAAGCGAGACACTTGGCCAAAAGAAAGTCCCGCTTAAGTTGCCTTTTATTAGCGATGAAGTAAGCTTAGCTATTAAACGATGCTTAAGAAGGGCAGATCTAGAAAAACCGGTAGCGATAGTTGAAATACCACCGGCTACTCTACGTCGTCAGTTAGTTCGTAATCGCCTGTATGACCGTCCGTGTGAAACAACAAATTGCGTAATTTGCCCTTACGGCAGGGACGGTGATTGCATGAGTTCAGGTACAATATACCTGATCTCTTGTAATAATTGCGGAGATGAATATATTGGCGAAACGGGCAGGCCTTTGTGTTTCCTAGACATAAAAGAACACCTAGATGGCAAACGAAAACTAAGAAGAAGCACTCCACTAGGCACGCATAGGACACAAAAGCATAGCGGAGACGATTTTGAAGTAAAAGTCAATATCCTTGCACAGGAAACTGAAACACCAGCACGAAAACTTTTTGAGGCTTTTTGGATAAATGTCAAAAACCCTACAATGAATAGCAGGGACGAATATCCAGAGGTTATGCGCGACCTGACCCCTTATGTTCGCATCAATTTCTGATGTGGCATGGTGCAGTCATCAAGCATATGCGACTATAATCGGCTATTCTAATCTTCCTCATTGGAAGTTCCGTAAAAAGCGGTGAGTTTTTCGAGATGTTGCTGATCATGTAATTACCATAGGGTTTTTCGTCTTTTTGTAAGTGCTATTGACGCGTTTGGTCTAGTAGATTGTATATCAGTATACTCTTCCAGCCTCTGAAGAAGGCGATTCTGCCGAAACATCAGCTACTATTGTATTGTATTTCTCTATGGAAGTAAATGTATGCTGCTTAACAATCTCGCGATTGCTGAACCAGAAAACGATGCATTCATATTCGAATGCCGAGGTTAAGAGAAAGTCAATCCTGTGAACTGTTATCCACGAAGTTTCGATGAATGAGAAATAACCCTACCTTTGGATTTGTTAAGTATTTCGCAAAGTAGGTATCCGTCTCATCTATCAATGCACACACATTATCACTATCCTAAAACAAATATTTCATCTCTTCGAAAGAAACAAAGTTAAGACACCATGTTTCATAAACCATTTTGGAATGCGAAGTAAAAAGACACTGCAGTACAAATCAGCTTTTGGTGACACCAAAAATGTGTGTGGTTACACTCGAACTATACATGTTACACATATTTTGCAAAAGAACTCTCGAGATCATTCGATGAATATACACGTGTTTTATCATTCTATAACGAATGCGCCAACAAGTGTACGACCCAATAAGACAATGAGTTTAGTTGGTCCACCAGCGATGATCAATATAGTGATTGCGTATGTATAATTACACTGCGCTATTCACAATAAAAAGATAAAAAATAAAGCTCTCAGCGTTAATCAATTCCTGACGGATCCTCCATGCATTCGACTTCATTAAGCATCGTTTGGAGGTGACTGAATCCATATCTGGCCTTTACAATGACTCGCAGTGGCTCACCGATGTATCGAACCAGTGCTGCTATCTTCACAGACGATTCTGGCACAAATTTGCCGACCTCGGAAGGATGGAAGGGTTTACGGGCCATGGGCGCGGGAATCGATTCTACATGTGTTGCACGGAACCTCCGACCACTGCGCTACTCATATCAACTATAAATATATGTGGTATACCGATAACAATAATAGTAAGTAACATGTCTATAGCACAAATATTTTAAAAATATCAAGAAGCCTAGCTTCTTTTCGCGCGAGCAGGAGACTCAAAATCACTTGAGAAATTTTCTTCAAATTACGAATAGAAAGTGGTTCCATCAGTAGGAAATATCTTGATACATTTGTTTAGACAAACTAGGAGTATAATACAAAAGATTTCGCAATCCAGTTTATGTGACACCTGTCATCGAATGGATCTCGGCACAGTGGCACGGATTCCTATGTGATTCATGTTGGTACGAGTGTTTTAATAGCGATGGTGATATATAAAAACTACAGCTACAAGTTAGCAGTATATGCACAAAACAGTTTTTCATAAACAATCAGTCATTCAAGCTATAAAAAAATTTACCACCACTCGTTTCCTACCGTTGTCGTCGTCATCAATACCCGATTTCTCCAGTTTATAGCTTGAAAAAACACCCAATACATCCGTAGAATTCTGAAAAAACTCTATCTTTACGAAAAAACAGATCGCATCGAAGCAAGTTCGAAAGAGATAACACAGCAACCTTCTGAAAAACATCCCACTGTTGTTTATCAAAACAAATTACTGGATTGGAGAAGAAATTCTGCATCTGCCAAAACATCGAGTACAATGCATGATCAACGGGTATATTAACGTCTCTAAAATTACTTGCATTTTAGGCACAAAATAGAGAAGAATGTAATGACACCATCATATAATCCTACCTCGCTTCTTTTATTTCCCCTGTTTCTATTTCATCATCGGAAGCATTAATCAAATCAACTGGTTGTGTTTCCGACTGCAAATACTAGATTTTTGCTAAAAGAACTCATTTGCCATCAAAATACATACCGTATCAAATTTGGTGACATTCTGTGTATTAAAATGTCCCATCAGATTGAGACCAGATTTTTCACTTAAAGGAAGATACCTAAACTACTGTACTTCAAAAAAAAAGCAATAAATCAATTAATTTAAAAAGGACCTGCTAAGGAAGAACAAAATTCTCCCACAAAAGGAAGTCTCTGCACTTCTACTAAGCCTTTTCAGAAGGTCATTGCACATCCTAAGTATAGGCGTCTGAGATGTTTCCACAAGTGGAGACTACAAATATAAATTGAGTAGAAAACGAACTAGTTACTGTAAGTAAAAAAATAGTAAAAAGGAATTGGTAGCAATAAAGCTTGAATGGTTACTGTGGATAGAACATAAGTAAACAGCACACCCCAACGGTTTAAAGCTTTATTGTGGTTGGGAGGTGTTCCAGGGTGTAGGGTGTCGGGATGCAATGCACAACTGGTAGTTCATCATCTCTGCAGAGCTTCCCAAGCTGAAAAAGAGCCCGATGTTTCCACCAAGAAGCCCAGCCAAGAGTAAACCAATACCAGAATCCACTACCGACCCGGTATCAAACTAGTCGTATAGGGACAAATCTCCTTCCACAAGGACGGCGACTGTCTAGAGTGGTGACAACTTGTGGGCAGACGTTGGTGATCTTGGGACTTCGGGGACCCACAGCGGCTAAATCAGCGAACTCCGAAACAATGGAAATTGTGCTGGAGTCCGCTCAATCAGTGAAGACGGACCTTCTAAGAATCCAAGTAAGTAAACGGTACCTCACCTGCTTGAATTGAAGCATGTTCTCTTCAAGTATACCAAATAACCGCTCACATCGCCCAATGCCACTCACTTCGAACATGTCTTGCAGAGTTTGTACAGCTGTTTGTTTAACGCATAACCCTTGACACATCATAACTGATTACATTGATACATCCATTAGATTCACATTTCATAAGAAAGTATAGATAAAAAAGGAACTATATTCATCCAAAATGTAAACAAAGAGACAAACGATGAAACAAAAAAGTAGTAGAAGTACTTAAGTCATTTCCGCAAAAATTTCCTTCCTCTCCCTCTGCAAAACTGTGAGAACAACTCATATCTCAACATCTAGGTATATTGAAGGATAATCGGGAGGATTATAACTCCTCATATCTATCATGACCTATCACAGAAATTACAACTCACCACTTTTACAAACATTCAAGGCAAATTCCAAGTGCTGACGAGCATTTCGCTCAATGGTGTCGTCTGGTCCTCTAGCTATATCCAGCCCGCTTTCTCTTAGACGAACTTCCAACAGAGACGGTAAATCGTCATCACTGAAAGAAAAATTTATGTCTAAAATCTAAGAGCCACTATTTTATAACAATATACTTTTTAATCACTTCCATCTAAATCTTTGCAAGAAAGTACTCTCCCTACTACTCAAGATGTGTGTGAAGTTCACACGAAAATTAAGTAACCATAGTCTCCTTTCTCTATTGGTAGCATTTCACAATGGTTCCTCACCTAGACGAATCACGGAATGTCGCGAAGTATTTCTTCAAACCCACTAAATCTCGTTTTCTGATGAACTCTTCCATCAGTTGCTAGAAAAGACGATGACTTTCAAGGATACGAATTAATTGTGAAGAAATAACAGCGGAAACGTATGACGTCATGAGGAAGTGCAGTATCAAGAACTGCTTAACAATTCAAAATGAATTTATTTAACCTTAGAAGCACATTAGCAGCAATAAAATACACATGAACTCAAGAGAAATCAATGCGAAAGATGTTAAGGATAAATGATTTACTAAGAAAAAGCTCAGCGCTACTCATTTATTCGAAAAAAATAAATCGAGTAAAAAGAAGACTATAGACATTTGATTACTCGTATCCAGATCTAAGTAAAAAATACAAACAGCACATCACTACGTAGTTACAAAATTATCTTGAAGACACAATCTTCTACTCTAATATCAAAAAAGGCCACAACGATGAATTCGCGCACTTCACTAAATTCAGGTTCCAAAAAATGTACACGCTAAGAAATAACTTCAAAAGTACCGTGGTGACACAACCGTAATAACCGACGTGTTGGTGTAGAATGAAAAGAAAAGAATTAATACAGGTTCTTATAATTTCAAACAGATCGTGAATAGCCCACAACGTGGATGGATAATACCTGAAAACAAGGGAATAGCGTAATCATCCCTTACAGAAGTGGGGAAATTTGTGATACTCAGGTGAAAATCATACAGTGTAACACAGAAACTTAATCAGGCATCAACCGCGCCAATCGGGATTGCAAAGCGGTATGTGTAGCAGAATCCATCGTACGTCTTTTCTTCTGCGCATCCGACATTAATTTTGCCTTCGTCTCATTTAGATTTTGCGGAAGCGGTATCGCCGATTCACTAAACGGAGTATCACAGATGTTTACAACGCAGCAAAAACTACGTATCAAACCGAAACAGAATGTTGAGCTGACAATAATCACCTAGTCAAACTTTCAGCGTTAATGTCCTTCGACTGCAGTACGGTACCTACAGGAGAGAAATCCATTGTCGTTGAATGGGACATTTGACCGCGGCCACTACAACGCATGGTCTCGAAACGAGAACGCAACGTGAATAAGCTCTGGGCAGTAGAAACGGCTTTCTGAATTAGCAAATATTTTAGTATGCCATTTCGTAAATTAAAATAGCAGGGAACGATCAATATATAGAGAATTCCTCTATCAAGCAGAGAATTCGTTATCAACCTAACAAACACATTCTATAAGACGATAGAGACTGCATTTGCCACAACATAACGCGTGCGTGTCCTGCATCCACATCCCATTTTAGCCATCGGACACGCCACACAGCATCTCGTAGCCATTAAGCACACCATCAGTCATGTTACTAGGGACGACTCATTGCTCAAGGACTAGACCATGCGACCCGAGCCTTGACCCTGCGACCAATGCTAATCACTTGAATGTAGCCACGCCCACTAGCACCATCATTTGGTTTCCGTCCATGGCTTGGAGTTTAACGCTGCCCTTTCCTCATCATTATTTGCTTTCCCACATAATCCTCTCATTCACAGCTTCTTCGATCCATCTAAGCAGAAATAATGTTAACTATAATGTGTAGCTCTTTTTCGATAACTGTCGATAGTTTTTGAAAAACTAAAATGCTCGAAAGTTTTAGAACACTGGTTTATTTCTGCTCAACTTTGGAAATAAGTCGTTCACCATGTTGTGTTCTCGACCTCTATAGACGTAGCTGGAGCATTGGGAAATATTCGTTCCGTTGATTGTGAATGGGGCATACGAAGCCAATCCGTTCCTAATGAACATTGTTGTTGTCAGCTTTAGTCGGAGAGTAATGGGGCGGATACCAAAGTGGTAGTGATGTGGACCATCAAGGGCATAGTTCTAGTTCGATTTCGTTTCGAGCTAATCAAGTTTGTCATCCCTCCGGGATCGGGGAATTGGTACCAGACTTGTCTGAGCAAAAACCACCCTCTGAAATCCAAGTGGAACGCTCTGGCCCAGCTATCTGAGGACTCTAGGCAGAATCGACACGAACAGTGTCCTTCGACATTCAAGATGAAAACAAAGTCTTCAAGCAGCAGCCGAAGCCACACGTAAAAGTTGGAAGACGCATATGAATGGCCGAAGGGAAAAAGATATACTCAAATAGTACAAAGAGCACTGGGCAGCAATAATTTCAATTTCCTAGTTAAACTACAAAAAAAAGAGAGCGATGGATTTAAATTCCCTAGCATAAAGGAAGGTTCAAAAAAGAAATTAACGACCAACCTGCAAATTTCCTTCATTGTCAAACAAATAAGTGGTATTAAAAATATTTTAAAGCATCTTTAAGGAGGCAAAGCCTGTTGAACGGAGCGAAAAAAGAGGGTATAATGAAACGAAGAAAGTGAGAATAATGAACAACATATTATAACCACAGAAGTACTAAACCATGACAAAAAAGCAACCATTGGGTGAAAGTGTGTATTTCTTCGTATTCTTGTTTAGCAAACGCGAGGTGTCATTTCTATTCACGAACAAGCTGACGTTTCGGCGGATTTCGCCTTCCTCAAGGCCTCGAAGGGTCGAGTTGACAGCAATCTATTCGGCCAAACACCTCCATAACCAAACAGAAGAAAATGAGCCTTCCACTGAGTATGTCGCGTAGAGACCAACCACACAGATTTCATTTAGAGCCATAATGTAGAGCCCTTCAGAATAATAGATTTATATACTGCCCAATATCACGCGTGATAATGAAACATTCTACCCTGCGGTTCATTTTCGAATTTCTGGAATTAATCCAGAATGCCTCTAGAGTTTTGTTCTGGATTCCTGTGCGAGGAACGTGACACGTACTTCAAAGTCCTCCTCGTTATGTCTCTGCGTCCTGCGCGTGCCTAGTAGGGTATTTGGCTTACGTTTGCGACTAGGTGTTCTTTTATGCGGACGCAGTGTGCTCTACCCGTTCGGCCAATGTATTCGTCTCCGCACGCCTTAGAGGAAACCAGATAAACTGTACCCGAGCTCATGTAATCACCGTCTCTACCACTAGGGCAAATTATGCAATTTTGCGTTGCACATGGACGGTCAAATAGGCGGATACGAGCTAACTGGGGTCTTAGATTACTCGGTTATAGACTATTCCAATTATCGTTACCGAATTCTCTAAACCGGCCCTTCTTAAACAGCGCTTTATAGCTGCACTCACTTCACTTCAAATGAAGGGAAGGATAAACGAAACCTTATTGCCACTAGAGTTATTGCTGGGTGGCCTGTGGTTTCCTCTACAGCTATCCCGAGCTACAGTTTCATATCCGTTAAAAATGGTTATTTGCCGCGCCAAGTTCCGGGACTCCTCTCTCTGCTGTCTTCCTGTGCACACGCTGGTAGCTGTTCGAAACATGTTTCTCACAAGCGTCCTTTCCGTACGAGAGGGGTGAGAAGTAATGAACCAAGATGTTTCTACTACTTGGCTTTCGGTACCACTTCGCAATGTGGCCAAGGTGGAAACACAAGTGACCGATCTCGGGCCGTTACTCTACCGTAGATATGTAGATAACTGTTTTGCCCTTTGCTCAACACAAGAGGAAATGGACAAATGTTTCGAGTTGTTGAACGAACAGTCAGAGTATATCAAGTTCACCCGAGAAAAACCGGAAGAACTGGCTTCCAGAACTGAACTGGCTTCCATTCCTGAACGTCCAAATTAATCTGTTAGAAAATGGCTATGGTAGAGACAGTGATTGCATGAACTCGGGTGCAGTTTATCTGACCTCCTGTAAGGCGTGTGGAGACGAACACATTGACGAAACGGATAGACCACTCTGTGTCTGCATAAAAGAACACCTAGCCGGCAAACATAGACCAAATGTCCCGCTAGGCACGCATAGGACCCAGAGACATAACGGGGACGACTTCGAAGTATGTGTCACGATCCTCGCACGCGAATCAAGAACACAGGCGCGAAAAACTCTCGAGGCACTCTGGATTAATTCCAGAAATCCGAAAATGAACCGCAGCCTCTTTATCACGTGTGATATAGGGCAGTATATAAGACTGCTATTCCGATAGGAGGGGCGCATTATGCTTCCATGTGATTTCTGTGCGGTTGCTCTTCACGCGACATACTTAATGGAAACTTCATAGAAAGCGGTGAGTGTTAAATGTGATTGAAATCTTGGTTTAGCGTTTTATCTGTTTGGTTATGGAGGTGTTTGGCCGAATAGATTGCTGTCAACTCGACCCTTCCAGGCTCTGAGGAAGACGAAATCCGCCGAAACATCAGCTTATTCGTGAATAAAGAATAATAACACATCGCGTTTGCTCAACAAGAATACGAAGAATTACTTGATCAATGCCGAGGTTAACAAAAAGTCGGTTGTGGGATTTATTATGAAAGTGTGTATATTCACCTAGACACTAACCTGTTCCGTCACACAGCCGATTTCTTTCAGTTTATGTGTACGACATCTGTCTAAAAGATCGCGAACCAAACCAGAGAGGGGAACCTATAAGAGAAAAGTGAGAAAAATCCTGTAATTAAAACAGATATACACCAACCACTTGCAAGTACTCCTCCAAATTTGTGGCTTCTTCTGGATGTTTTTCAACATACGAATGCAGTAAAGATGCGTGCTTATTGAACTGAAAACCCATTACTAAAGCATGAATTGCTATGAAACCTCAGTAAACATTAATCAGCGCTCACCGATGACAAGTCTCGCACTACATTATCAACAAGGACATTTAGTTCGGAGCGACCGTACCCATTGACATGACTTGACTTTTGACTGGTTGGAGGATCAGTTACCTGAAATTATTTTACTCATTGTGCTTGTGACATAATTCCAAAGTGAAATAAAATTAGCAATTAATTAAAAACACCATCCTGAT